GCAGCATCTTCCAAAGTCCCACTACTAAGTAAAACTGACATACGCCATTACTCATTGTAAGTTGGGAGGGAGGGAAAGGAACATACTTCCCCACAAAAGAAAATTCATTACCTTTTCAGATTCACCATTGCCCATGGTATACCTGTAGGTGTGTTGAAGGCTGGAAGAAGTTTTCCTGCCAGTTGCACTGCTTTGATCTTGAAAACCTAAGGTAGTATGATCAATTGCAAAGAGTTAAAAAACCTGACTTACCTCCAAGAACTAAAAAGACTGAAATCTCCTGGCCCCACCCGCCTCTCTTTACATTGTAAAAAATAGAGTAACTTGCAACTCTTTTTCAGTTGTTCACTTTACAAATTTCATTAAGATTTGAACGTGGAAAGAAAACTTGTCATTTTCATTTCTTTCCTTCCATATTCTCCAGCAAGCGCTTAGATTCCTATTAAAGAAGGATATAAATTCTCCTCTCACCTCCTTCCACCAGTATTAGGAATTTCAAGTGTTTTCTAAAGGAGTCTTTAAACCCTACTTTATATTTTGTAGCTAAAAATCAAGAGAAAACTCCCCAACCCCCACCCCACACATAAGTATTTTAACTTTTACAAACTTCCCATCTCTTATTAACAAGAAACATATATATAGTGCAGACAGAGTTTCTATTTAATGAACATTGTCTGTGCAAAACCATATATACACAGTTCCCTGTAGCTTTTCCTTCATTGATAATGCATCAAAAAACGATTATAGGCTTCATCTTCCCTCTCAAGTCTAACTACTCATAGAAATTACTGATGGGATGAAATGTCTTTCACTTCTAGTGCTGTTTCTACTTACTTTCGGACCACAAGTCTGTAATAGCCTCATTCATAGGCTAATATTTATTAGTTAAATAAGCAACTGAGAGAAAGTTCCTTCTAAGCCTATAGGAAGCACCTGTTCCAAAGGCGGCATTATTTAGTAGATCCCCATGACATAAAACTGGTTTTACCAGCTAGTTGCTAGCATACATTTTCAGTATTCACTCCATTTCTGCAGAAGTATCTTCTGACTTTGGGGATAATATTATTGAACAGTTTGAAGCACTGTATGAACATATAACTAAAGGAGCTACCAGGCCTCCAAGTAACTTATGCAACATGGACATACTATGGAAACATCAATTCTCTGGTGACCAGCAACAGGACACAAGGAAATGGAATGAAGCTGCATCAGGGGAAGTTCAATTAACATAGGAAAAGGTTCTTCACTAAGAGGGTGGTCACAGCACCAAGCCTGTCAGAGTTCAAAGAGTATCTGGAAGATGCTCTTAGTGATACGGTTTAGTTTTAGGTAGTCTGGTGAGGAGCAGAGTTGGACTCGATGATCCTTATGGGTCTCCTCCAACTCGACATATTCTGTGATTCTATTATTATCAATTACCTGAGCAATACTCTGTAATCAAGAAGAATGAAAGCTTTAAGAAGGACTAGAAGATTGGATTTATAAAAGGCTCTGCTGGATTTATAAAAAACATTTCTCCCTTTTCTAAAGTCCATGGAGGAAACCGGAAGGGATACTCACTGGAGAAGTAAGCTGAAAAGTTACTGAAAAACAAGCAATCAAGAACATCCTCATTTTTCATATGAATGTGGGAAAAGATCAATATATTAATATTTGAAGAGATGACTAGTAAGACATGAAATAAACTAGAAAAGAATATTAAAGTTGACATCTAATTGTATTTGATGCAGTGGAGTATGGAGAGATGGAGGTGGATCTGAAAGCAATGAGCCAGAAAAAAGAACTTTTACAGAGGTACTCTAAATGAATTTTAAGATGGGATATGTCTAAACCAAAAAAGAGAATATGGTTTGATAGAACTGTGAAGTCAGAGAAGCAATACGGTTTGAATGATTTTTAGCAAAGATACTGACAAAAGACAGTCTCTGAGAAAATATGCAGAAATTTAGCAGTAAAATTGAGATAACACACTCACCTTGAATACAGGACCAAGTCAAAATAGGAAATCATAATATAAGTAAGAGGTATAATACTGGTGGAGTCTATGGTAACTGGGGAAAAAGAAACCCTGAAAAGAACTAAAAGCTTCATCTTGGCTCAGTTCTATATAAACTACCTGATGTGCATACACAAATACATGTCAAAAATTCATGCTGAGCATCTAGATTTGGAAGCAGTAGATGGGTTGAGACCAGACAGAACAATCTATAGAGAGTCATCCAAAGGGAGTTCCTCTATAGTGCAGACAAGCTTCAACACCTAATCCAGAACAGAATGTTGACTTCCAGTTAATGGCCTCTAGGTCGGAAAGACATTTGTTTAGCTTCAGCTTTTGGATCCTGCACCCTCTGGAAGTGCTACACATTACTGTATTATTCATTAATAAAAGATACTGAAACATCAGAGTAAGAATATTCAATGGGAGAACACCCCTAGAAAATTCGTTGCTAGAATAATATTCTTAATGGGACCTACTGCTCCCTAACTTTTAATCAATTTGAAAAGTACTATGATATTTGGGGAACAACTTATAGCATTGGAAGCAGTTTTTAGTAAGAGTGTATGAAGCACTCTTGGGCTGATCTAAAAGTGCGTGAAACTAGACAAGGACAGTTAAAGCAAGGCAATCAATATGCCACTTTAGCATGTGAGCAAGCCAGAGCATCAGCAGCAACCGCTACTTCAGACAACCTGCAAAAACTTGCTGTGCCCTCCTGCCACCTCTGTTGGCTTGAAGACTCTACGTAGCACCAGAAGGTAAAACTCTACCTCTCTACATCCCTCCCATATAAGACTGAATGCAAAGAAACACTTAAAAAAATTGTCTGAAGACATGTCTTGTCTTTCTATTACTGCCACCTCAGTTCTATCTCACTGCTGCTCATGGATAACAAAACCACCTAGTGCCTGATCCACTATTAACATATGCAGACTGAGGTGAGAACTGGGAGACAGTTGCATATGTTTTTATCAGAGCAAAGTGACCAGAAGAGCATATTTGGAGAGATGTAAAGAAAGAAATGCAGCAAGCAGCAGTGGATGAGATGCCCTTTATTGGAGACTGCAGCTGTTATAAGGATGCTCTGCTGAGCTCATTACAGTGACCTCTTTTACTGTGTTTCAGACTTACGATAAGAACTCTAGCTTTTAAATAACACAGTGGCATCAGGCAACGTGGTTGCTGAGCACACAGGAAGGATTTTTACTCCTATTTTAATAGGTTGAACAGATAGATTCTATTTCAGCCCTAGCAGTTTCCTGCTGGCAGGCAACACATTTCAAGAAATGCATAAGCAAGAATAGGGAACAACAAAATGAATGGATGCCCGGAAAATAGATCTCATTAGGAAACAGTAAAAGAATTAGGGTTATTTAGTTCAGAGAAAAGATGTTCAAGAGAGGACAAGATAATGATTTTTTTTTTTTTTTTATAAAAAAGCTAACACAAGGAAAAAGAAAAGATTTTTTTTTGTTTTTCTGTGGGCATGAAGTAACACCAAAATGAAGCAAGGAAAAGTAAATTAGTTATTAGAAAAAAAGTTGGTGATAAGGATAACTAATACCGAAGCATGACTCTGCTGCAGAGTCATTAATACAGCTTGTAAAAACACACTGTACAGCACATGCAACTACAAAGACTGATGTGATTTGACTCTGCCCAGGAGCAGAAGACTGAGAACTATATAGCTTCCTTACTGCTCTTCCAGCCATGCTGTTCACTGGGTTTATCTGACAAGGTTTTGATACCGGGGTGCTACAGGGGTGGCTTCTGGGAGAAGCTGATGGAAGGTTCCCCTTTGTCAGACAGAGACAGTGACAGCTGGCTCCAAGATGGACCCATCATTGATGGTGGTAGCACCTTTGGGGTAATGTGTTCAAGAAGGGGAAAAAAACCTGTGCAGCTACAGAGAGAGAAGTGAAAACATAGAACCAGCTCTGCAGACACCAAGGTCAGTGAAGAAGAAGGGGACAAGGTGCTCCAGGTGATGAAGCAGAGGATCCTCCAATGCTCCCTGCAGCCTGCAGGGCAGACCATGGTTAGACAGGCTGTGCCCCTGTAGCCCATGGAGATCCATGTGGAGCAGATATCCCCCTGCAGCTCATGGAGGTTCATGTGGAGCAGACATCCCCCGGCAGCCCATGGAGGTCCATAGCAGGGCAGACATCCCCCTGCAGCCCATGGAGGTCCATAGCAGGGCAGACATCCCCCTGCAGCCCATGGAGGTCCATAGCAGGGCAGACATCCCCCTGCAGCCCATGGAGGTCCATAGCAGGGCAGACATCCCCCTGCAGCCCATGGAGGTCCATAGCAGGGCAGACATCCCCCTGCAGCCCATGGAGGTCCATAGCAGGGCAGACATCCCCCTGCAGCCCATGGAGGTCCATAGCAGGGCAGACATCCCCCTGCAGCCCATGGAGGTCCATAGCAGGGCAGACATCCCCCTGCAGCCCATGGAGGTCCATAGCAGGGCAGACATCCCCCTGCAGCCCATGGAGGTCCATAGCAGGGCAGACATCCCCCTGCAGCCCATGGAGGTCCATAGCAGGGCAGACATCCCCCTGCAGCCCATGGAGGTCCATAGCAGGGCAGACATCCCCCTGCAGCCCATGGAGGTCCATAGCAGGGCAGACATCCCCCTGCAGCCCATGGAGGTCCATAGCAGGGCAGATATCCCCCTGAAGTCCATGGAGGTCCATGGTGGAGCAGATATCCACCTGCAGTCCGTGGATGACCCCACACCGGAGCAGGGGGATGCCCAGCAGAGGCTGTGACCTGTGGGAAGCCACAGCTCCAGCAGCTCCTAGCAGGACGTGTGTCCTCATGGAAAGAGGAGCCTGTGCTGGAGCAGGTTTGCTGCAGGACTTGCAACACCATGGGGGACCCAGCCTGGAGTAGCCTGTTCCTGAAGGATGCACCCCATAGAAAGGACCCACGCTGGAGCAGCCTGTTCCTGAAGGATGCACCCCATAGAAAGGACCCACGCTGGAGCAGCCTGTTCCTGAAGGATGCACCCCATAGAAGGGACCCACACTGGAGCAGCCTGTTCCTGAAGGATGCACGCTGTGGGAAGGACACACACAGAAGCAGCTCATGAAGCACTCTCTCCTGTGGGAAGGAATCCACACTGGAGGAGGGGAAGAGTGTGAGGAGTCCTCCCCTGAGGAGAAAGAGGGGCAGAGACAACATGTGATGACCTGTCATTAA